TACGAGAATCCTAACCTATGCAGGAGGCTCATTGGCAGTTTGTAGGATCAACTCTCTGTAGCTCTTCCTCTTATCCAGAGAGGAAGGTGAAGGAAGGAAGGGGCCATGGTGCAATCAAGGTGTCTCAGGACAGTGTAGGTTCTCCAGACCTATCCAGTGAACTGTCTGGAGGTGTCGGGAAGGATCTCTTTAAGGAACTTCTCAGTGACATGTTGGAAAGATGCTTGAGGCAGGCCTGGAGGCCCCTCAGGGAGGATCCCAGTGCCCTAACACTGCTCCATCTCCTAGCTGACAGAAAGTGATGCCATCTGCCACTTTTCCTCCCTCAGGGACCTTTGTAAAGGCCCCCAGTATTACATAAATTATTGTCCTTCCCTCACTCATTCATAAATTCATCATATTGACCACCCTGCTCACTTCTGCGGGACACCATTCCAGATAGAGAGACTGTGGACTGGTTTCTCTGCTTACTCCTTCACCACTCTCTGCCTGGAGTAAGATCGGGGAGGGGGGGTGGGCAGAAAGAGTGGAAGATCAGGGACTTACTCCTTTCTATTCTCCCTGCTTCAGGAATTGTCATGAGCCAGGCTCCAGAACAGCCTCAGTTCCCTCATTTGTAAAGTAGGTATGTTAGGATTGTTCTAAGCCTGGTTAGAGGATTGAAATGAGTTTATACATGCAGCGCACAAAGGAGAGACCTAATGTATCATAAGAGCTCGATAAATGTTAATAGGGCTGAGGGTGTAGCTCAGTGGTAATGTGCTTGCCTAGCATGCCAAAGGTCCTGGGTTCCCAAAATCCCTAACACCGCAAAAAAAAAAAAAGTTATCTATGGTCTATTTAGTTCAGATGAACAAAAGCGAACTGTCACTTCTGTGCGATCATTAGCTCACATTTAGTCTCAACTACCACTCTATTCAGTGTCCACATCTATTGTCCCAGTTTAGCCAGTGAGGCTGAGGCTCCCTGAATTTCTCTCAGTCCGGAGCCTCAACCTGCACACAGCTACCCCCTTGTGGCATAAGTGGTGCATTGACACCCTTCTTTTACCTCTTTGTTCTCTTTCTTTAAGGCTCAGCTCCCCAGGCCTAGAGGGTGGAGGGAAAGTCTATGCTCCCCCACCCCACCCTCCAATTTTGGAACCCTGGGAAGTGGTTGGAGGAGGAGCCAGAGATGAGGAGCTCAGTGCTCAGCTTTGGACCAGCTGCTTCAGGAGACTGGCAATGTTCTGTCCTGGGAATGCTTGGCAGGCCACTTGATCCCACCCACTGTTTTAAAGCATCTGACCCGGTGCTTCTCCACTTTGGCTGGGGAACTGTTTGAGCTCCCTGTGCCCTAGCTACCCACCCATCTCTTTTGTCACATCCCATTGTTTTACCCCCAAGCCTGTGCTGACCAAGGCCTCCTTATTGGAGATCTAGTGGCCCCCGTGGTCATCTGACTGGCCATCCTCCTCCTCCCTGATGCCCACAGCTCCACACTATCCTGCTTCTCTGTGCCTTCTCAATTTCCCATGTGAGCAGCGCTCCCCCTGCTTCCCCCTCAGTGTCTTCCCGTCCATTCCATGTGACTAGACTAAGAAAGAATCTGGGTCTAGGAATCTGATGTCAACTTTAGGGGTTGTCAGTGAGACTGCCTATGGTGCCAGGCAATTCCTGCTTATTTATCTGCCAGCCTGAGGCAACAGAACATGGCAGTGCTTCCTACCAGGTGCAGTGATCCCAGTGACTCGGCAACTTGACAAGATGCTGTCTCAAAATAAAAAGTGCTGGGGATGTAGCTCAGTGGTAGATCCACTTTGGGTTCAATCACCAGTACCAATATATATGGGGGGAAGGGGCGAGGCTTGTGGAGAACGAGAGTCCACAGGTGGGCTCTAAACAGTGCCGTCCACTCTGGGCCCTCCCTGGCCTGCAATTCCTGGTCTCTTCTGTTGTTTCTCTATTAGCCCTGCCTGGCCTCATGGACTTCGGTTTTCTCCCTTCCTCCTCTGTGTAACAGTAATGACAGATATTCTCTATTAGAGGGTTGGGATTCCATAAAGTTCTAGCACAATACCTGGTGCATGATAATCCAGGGGAGGGAATGAGGGAGGCCTAGACCAAAGCCGTAGCCACAGAGATAGCCCAAAGTGTTCAGGCCCCAGATTCTCACCTGCCCCCATGCCCCATCACACACACACAATCTGTTTCCTCTTCATTCAAGGATGCCTCATGTTTCTTTTCTTCACCCTAAGTCACTACTCAGTCTGCTCTTAAAGCCCAGCTCAAATCTGAGCCTGGGCAGAAGTAACCTTCCTTCTTCACCCATAGGGGTTCAGTGTATTCATGCTGGTACAGATCAACATATCCATTCCCCCCCTACCCCGCCCCGATTCCACAGGGGATTAAATCCAGGACCCCCTGCAGACACCAGAATCCACAGACCTTCAAGTTCCTTATATTACATGGCCTTTTTTGTATGCAGCCTATACATAGCCTCCTGTATGCTTTAATCATCTCTAGATTACTTATAATACCTAATACCAGGTAAATACTATGTAAGTAATTGTTATATTGTTTACAGAGTAATAACAAGAATAGTGTGTACATATTCAGAACAGACACAAGTTTTGTTTCAAATATTTTTTATCTGTACTTGGGCTGACTATTCATTTAGCAATCAATCCTAGAGAGCTTACTATGTTCAGAACTGCATAAAGATGCTGTACAAGTAGTAACTCATTTAATTCTCCCAGAATCCTGTGAGCTTAGTACTGTTATCTCTTCATAGATGAGTGTTGGAAGCAGAGAGGTCAGTGATTTGCCCCTGGACACGCAGGAAGAAACAAAGCCAAGACTCAAATCCACATAATTTGGCCTCAGATCCACTTTTTTTTTTGGGGGGGGGGGCGGTGCTAGGAATTGAACCCAGGGTTGCATATCCCCATCCCTTTTTTGTATTTTATTTAGAGTCAGGGTCTCCCTGAGTTGCTGAGGCTGGCTTTGAACTCATGATCCTCCTGCCTCAGCCTCCCTAGCCGCTGGGATTACAGGTGTATACCACCATGCCCAGCCCCAAGTCCATATTCGTAACTACTTAATATGCTGCCTCTCTATTAGCAAAGTGACGATGGCAATCATAATTTAAAAGCTAGCCATACCTTAATGCATTGAACCTTGCCACATCCCCAATGGTGTCCATATGAGCCTGAGCACTTTCTGGCTCTCTGAATCTTTTGGCAGAAGCCCATTCTTGGCCACTCACTCCCCCAGGCAGGACTCCTGCCCTCTCTACCTGGCACAAGTCTGGCACATGGGGCTGCTGATTGGAATCATGTGGGATGGAGTTGGAATCTTTATGCTGCAATTAACCCAGTATAGTCAGCTCAGCTGACATAACAAAAATAAATAAAATACAGCTGGTGGCTTAAACAACAGAAATTTATTTTTCTCACTGTTCTAGAGGTCAAAAGTATAAGATTGGCAGGATTGCTTTCTTCTGAGGCTTCTCTTCCTAGGACTCCTTGTATCCTCACATGGTCTTTTCTCTATACGAGACTCCAGCTCCATCCCAAGGAAAGTCAATACAGCAGACAGTCCCCTGTATCTGATCTTAATCTTTTTTTTTGTTGGGGGGTAGGTACTGGAGATTGAACCCAGAGGTGCTCCAACACTGAGCTACATCCTCAAGCCCTATTTACTTTGAGACAGGGTCTTGCTAAGTTGCTGAGTCTGGCCTCAAACTTGTGATCCTCCCACCTCAGCCTCCCAAGTTGCTGTGATTACAGGCATGCGTCACTGGGCCCAGTTGTCCTAATTGCTTTTTTTTTTTTTTTTTTAAAGAGGGAGATTTTTTTTAACCTTTATTTATTAAAATATTTATTTTTTAGGTGTAGAACAAACACAATGCCTTTATTTTTATGTGGTGCTGAGGATCAAACCCGGGTCCCACCTGTGCTAGGCGAGCACTCTCTGCTGAGCCACAATCCCAGCCTCCTTTATTTATTTTTATGTGATGCTGAGGATCAAACCCAGTGCTTCACACATGCTAGGCAAGTGTTCTACCACTGAGCCACAATCCCAGCCCCCTAATCACTTCTCTTTTTTTTTAATATTTATTTTTTAGGTGTAGATTGACACACACAATGCCTTCATTTTTATGTGGTGCTGAGGATCAAACCCCGGTCCTACCTGTGCTAGGCAAGCGCTCTACCGCTGAGCCACAATCCCAGCCCCCTAATCACTTCTTATAAGGACAACAGCCATATTAAGATCCACCCATGACCTCATTTTACCTTAATTACCTTGCTAAAAGCCCTATGTCAAAAACAATCACATTCTTCAGAACTGGGAGTTAGGATATCAACATAGAAATTTTGGAGGTACAAAGTTCAGCCCATAATGCCCAGGGTCTCAAACTCAGATGTTGATGGGTCAGACAAGTAATGTAGATGAAAGAATTTGGCTGAGCTAGACTTGGTCCTCTCAGTCTTTTATTTTCCCACTTTTAAGAGAGACAGATAAAAATATTTCACTTTTCTCTTTATTGTGTCATATACAAGAACCAGGACATTTGCTCATGGCTGCAGCCCAGCTTCCTAGAATAAGAGCCTGCCACCTACTAATTGCTCAATAAGTATTTGTTGAGCAAGCGAGAGAACAGAGTGGCCCTGGATGTTGGGGAGTGGCAGGGGCTGTGGTGAATCCCAGTCAAAGGGATCAGCTGATACTCACCACCAGCCAGTTATTGCCAGAATGCCTGGAATCCAGATTTTTTAAAATATAAATCTGAAGTTTTCCATCAGTGCACACAAACTAAATCACTGTGCAGACAAACTCATACCCACTGCACCCTGCAGGGGGCACCCATCCAGGGCCAGCAGGGCAGATATTCCCCTGCTCAGCCTCGGAGTGCTGTGCTTGTCCCAAGAAGACAGGAAGCCTGGGGATGTGAGAGCCTGTGCACCTCTGACCATTTCATTGACACTAATGGTCCCACACCTATGGTTGCCTCTGCAGGAAGGAGACGCACTAGGTGCCATGGAGAAGCTATGCCGACAGCTGACCTATCACCTCAGCCCCCACTCTGAGTGGAGGCGGCACCGAGGGATGGTGAAGAGGAAGCCACAAGCCTGGTGAGTGGTGGTCCCCTTAAGCAAGTCTGCCATGCTCCTGCCCATCCTGCTATGATACTCTCCAGGGCAGGGGGAGAAGGGATGAGGGCAGTGGGGTGTCCAGGAAAGCAGCCTGAAGGCAGTGAGTTCCAGAAGAATTTAAGGATAGGAAAAGCAGCCAGGAGGGCATTCCAGGTGTCTGTGAGGAGCTGGAAAGGGATCCTGGATGTGTGGTGGGATGTGTGATGGAGAGGGAAGGGAAGGAATCTTGCCCATCTTGTTCACCATTGTGGTCCCAGTACTTAGAACAATACTGGCACATAATAGGAGCTTAATAAACATCTGTTAAAGGAATGAATGAGGTAGGGACTTGTCACTGTTACCATTTGACTGGCCAGGATTTCACAGCTGGTAATTAGCAGGGCCAGATTCAAACTCAGGTTTGACTCCAGTGCAGAGCTGTTCACCACCCTTGTTTCCCTGATGTGATGTGTCTCCTTTGTTACTAACATTGATAAAAGAAGTCATGAACAAATGCCAGGCGTTATTCCAGGCAGTGAAGCCTCATGCCTTGAGGGCTTTACCTCCAAGCTCCTTGGGCTAGCCCCTAATCAGAAGCAGCAAAATGAGCCAGCTATGACCAATCTCCCAGGAGACCCTAAGAATAGGAAATTACCTGGTTTTGCCAGGAAATCTGTGACCTCTGAGATGCTGGTATTAACATGCTCACAGAGCAAGCTGTGAGCCCCTTCCACGGCCCTTTCCTTCCCAGGGTTGGGACTCAGGGCTTGCCTGGGCACTTGGAAATTTCACCACTGTGTCTGAGCCTTGAAGCCAGCCACAACAGGATGGTGGGCACACTCCTCATCAGGCTGAGCAGCCTGGGCCCTGGCTCCAGAACAAGGAGCAGGGCAACAGAGGGCAAAAAGCAATAGCTGACAAGGAGTGGAAATAGAGAGCACTGAGCCTCCAGGAGGCAGCAGCTGCCACCAGATTCGGAGCCCCTGTGCTTCCTCTGCCTACGGTCCTGCAGGCCTCTGCCAGAGGATCTCCCAACTGGTGGAGAAGATGGGACCTCAGAGAAACTTTGTGCCATTCTTGGGTCAGCTCAACTACCACCCAAGAGTGGTGAGAAAAGAAGCTCAGCCCAAGTGACCAATAATGACAAACATTTATCCATCACTCCCTTACAAAAGCACCATTAAATGCTTTGCATTTGTTATTCCACTTAACAACCCTATCTCTTAGCTCCATTTTTGAAGTAACTGAGGCCTAAAAGGTTAAGTAACATAAAGGCGACTAAGATGCAAACACGAATCATATGGAAGCCTGGAACTTTCCCTTGTGGTCCTGAAGGAATGGCAGCCTCAGACCACTCCACCCAGCCTGCTAGAGATATGCAACAGTGCCAGGACACAGGATGTCCCCGTTTTCTCCTAGTTCTGCGTTTGTAATTTATCTGCAAGTTTGTGAAAATGATCCCTAGAATTAGCTAAGCAGAGGCTGGCTCCATGGTGGTGGCTGTTTCTGCCTCTCAAGGAAGTCTGCTTCACTTGCTGTCCCTTCCTTTTAAGCCTCAAGGCTGTCCTGGCTGGGAATCCTCCAGACAACACAGTGGACCTGTCTGGCATCCCACTGACCTCCCGTGACCTGGAACGAGTGACCACCTACCTGCAGCGCTGTGGGGAGCAAGTAGACAGCGTGGAGCTGGGCTTCACGGGTCTCACAGATGACATGGTCCTGCAACTGCTGCCAGCACTCAGCACCCTGCCCCGCCTCACCACACTAGCCCTCAATGGCAATCGGCTGACCCGGGCTTTGCTGCGTGACCTTACTGACACCCTGAAGGACCCCAGCAAGTTCCCCAATGTCACATGGATAGATCTGGGCAACAATGTGGACATCTTCTCTTTGCCCCAGCCCTTCCTGCTCAGCCTGCGCAAGCGGTCTCCCAAACAGGGCCACCTACCCACCATCCTGGAACTGGGTGAGGGGCCAGGCAGTGGGGAGGAGATTCGGGAAGGGACATTGGGCCAGGAGGACCCTGGAGGGGGCCCTGTGTCACCTGCCAAAGACCACCACGAGGGCAAAGAGGCTGTGACTCAGACTTGACATGTGATAAGCCTCACCAGGGAGTCTATAGAGCAGGATGGCTGAGGCAAGTTAGGGGCTCCTCCCATCAGGAGGCTGGGGCTACAGCAGCACCCTAGTACCTGGGAAAGAGGGATTCGTGCACTACTTCCCTTTGGTCCTTTCCATCTCTCCTATAAATCCCAGCATCTGCCTTCTGGCTCCCAATAACTCACCCCTAGCTCAAGGGGCTCCAGGTACCCCACAGCTCAGTCCTTGGCTTCCTCAGATTTGGGAAAAGCATAGGTTTGGAGATGATGAAGCTTGAGCCAATGTTACCAAGAGCTTTTCTCCAAACAGCAGACAGGCCCCTGCCATCCCAGTTCTGTCCTACATGGGGAAGCAAATTCCACCCAGATGTTAAGTCCAACTTAATGAGGTTGGAGCCTAGTTCTTAGCTACGCTAAGCATGGACTTAAGGAAGGTGCTCTTCTTGCTGGGTCTCAGGTTTGGAACTGACTTCCCACATTTTAGCTTCCAGGTCCAGGGACCTGCTCCTAAAACCAGCTCTCACCACACCTTAAAATATTTAGAGCATCCTGTGGTGACAAGTGCCTATGCACACAGGCATGCATGGGAAAACCCATCAGAAATCTTGATCCTTAGCCAGCATTGTTATTCACAGGCTGAGGACAGCTCAAACTTGTATGCAAAGGATGTTTGCTCAATAGCAGAGCACTTGCCTACCACTTGAAACTCTGGCTTCAACCCCCTAACTTATGAGGGCATTCCTAAAAATCCCATGACCAGTGAGCCTATGGCGGTTATTAAGGAGAAAACTGGAAACCAAGAGCCTAACTCACCTGGTCCACTGCCCCCATACTCAACTTTTAATCCCAAGTAACCCCTAGACCCATGCCCAGAGACTGGGAGCAAATGAATTCTCAAGACCAGATACAATCACAATACTGAGGCAAGCAAGTATAGGGAAGCAAAGCCTCACAAGATCAGCACTAGCTAGCTACAAGTGACCCCTGGCCTCCTGGCAAATAGAAAAGATCATACCCAGGAAGGAAATAGACTATGGGCAGCAGGGATTGGTTGGAATCAAGTATGAATGCCTTAAACGCTTTTGGAAATTTTTCCCTGTTAAGTCTACAGTTGTTAAAAGGAAAACAGCTTAGACTGACCAGAAGTTTACAAGATGAGTGCTAATACCTGACAAAAGTAAAATTGAACTTGTTTTTCAAATATGCATATTCAAGAATCACCAAAGACCATTGTTTATTATGGTATTAGACATTATATTCAAGAGAAACAATTTTTGGCTTAAAGATCTCAGCCTTCCAATATAAGGGCAACCAATGTGTACACATAAAATGATTAAAAGGTATAGAAATTCCTGTTGGGTGGGGTAACGACACCAATCGGGCCTGTTGAATGATCTCTTGTGAACAGCCTGATACACAAGGTGACCACGTTTCCAAATGTTGAAGCTGTTTAGATTTTCAGAATCCAAATCAATGGTAGTTACTGATCCCCGGAATTGATCATCCTCTGGGAGATACAGCCTGCAAAGAAACTAAATTTCAATCTTACTTTCTACTCCAATTAACAGCAGTCATTCACAAGAGCAATGATATCTTCAGAAAACCGTAGGTTCACCACTACCAATCTGCCGGTAATTCCAGCTATTTTAGGTGATTTCATCATTTGATATCCTTTTAAGTTACTTAAAACAACTAGCCACTTTATCATTCTACTAATAAGGTAATTTTTGTGTAGATCAAGGCTTACCTCCTCCAGGGCTTAGGTGCTGCCACCAGGTCTATAACCTGCACTTCAGGGCTCCATTCCAAAATCCTGAGAATGGATAAAGCAAAGCACCTAAAGACCACAGAAGCAGGAGAGGCATTTCTTTTAGCCTGAGTAGCAACTTAATTTAAAAAAAAAAAAAAAAGCCCTTTAAGACCTTACAGAAGAGATTTTTTTTTTTGGTAAAATTACTGAATTACATAAGTCCTAATTAGCTTGTCTGGAAGCTGTAACTCTACTCAGTCACATTTCAAACCTCACATACCTAAGATTATGGTTCCTTCTGACAAATAAGGAAAACTATACCTCAGAACAGATAGGTAAATTGGTTCAAGATTATTAAATCACCAAGAGGTAAACTGAGAACCCCTCTACGGCTATGCATGCCACTCAGGATTTCCAGAATATCATCAATAAAGGTCACTATACTCTCTCTAGAGGCCAAAGCTTACCTCACGAAAAGACAAATGTTCCAGGCTCCAAAACTCAGCTGCTGGTGTTCCTTCTGCTAATATGCACCCTGAGTGAATATAGCAATTGTCACAGTTCAGACCAACTTTATCCTGGGCACCAATAAATGGTAAAGACTTGTTGACTGCAGTCAGCCAGGAATAGTTATCGTCAGTTATCGCTTCTGACGGCACTTCCTATTATTAGTGGTTTCATCAGAGCAGTCAACACCTCACTACTCTCCAATATTGCTCCAGAGACCTGTATATTGTCAAAAACAAAACTAACATTGCCTTAAAAACCCACTGGAGGGGCTGGAGTTATGGCTCAGTGGTAGAGCGCTCACCTCGCAGCATGTGAGGCACTGGGTCCGATCCTCAGCACTACATTAAAAAAGAGAGGACCCGGTGGCCCACACCTGTAATCTCAGCTATGCTGGAGGATGAGGCAGAAACACCAAAGGCCAGCCTAGGCAACTTACACCTAGTCTCAAAATTTAAAAAGGTCAGGGATACAATACAGCTCAATGATAAAGCATCCCCGAGTTAAAAAATAAAAAAACCAAGTTCCTAGATGCAGCTTAATGCATCCCTCTCCAGCTTGTGAAGTTCCACCTTATGCAATGACACATTCCATAATGCTAAATGTACAAAACTAAAATGCCAACTTGAATGCTTAAGACAACCGAGTTACAATTTCATCAAATATTAATCACTTCCCAGACCAGGGCTTGCTTACCTTATGACAGGCCGCTCCCTTCAATATTCTATATTAAGCCCGCCATCTGAAACACATGGAAGAAAGGAGAGAAATTGAGGGCAGATTCTAGCGGTAATATTCAGCTAAATCACTGCATCTCTGCGACTGCGGTCAGACGAGCATAAACATCGTCAGTTATCGCTTCTGACGGCACTTCCTATTATTCGTATCATCAGAACAGCCAAACAGATCTCCCTTACGGTCCCACTGAAATCCGTCCACACGCGGTGGACTCCAAGCTGCAGGCTGACCCCAACTTACCCAGCTTTATCATGTTTGCGCAGTCCTCATGGCGGGCCGGAGTTCTGGGTCCTTAAATCTGCGGACCCGAGGGGCCTGCCGCGGTAGCCCTGCAGAAATAACACGCGGTCTATAACCCTCGGTCCACGGTGGCCTGATTCTGTCCGGTGAGTCCCGACACCCGGACGCAGAGTCAGCCACAAAGCCCACGTGGACATCGGCGCCACGGAGAAACGCCGTTACAACACCAGCCCCTTTCACCAAGCTTCCGGAAACAAAAAGATTCCAGTTCTTTTCGTCCTTGCCACCAACACCCAACCGTACGCGATAAAACATCCTACCTTCACAAAGTCCATAGTGAAAAGACCGATCCTGGAGAGTCCATGGACCTTAAGATGTCGGAATATCCCATTCCTCACATAAGAAAGGGTGATCTGGCAAAAACTCACCGCACTTCCAGCCCTTTTAACGCTACAGACACCTCCCAGAACTCCCCCGGAACATTGAGCTAGTGGTCTTTTCCGCGGCGCGGAGAATTCTGGGTAACGCCACGCGCCGCTGCGCCTGCTTGGAGGTTGAAGGGCGGATTCCAGAGCCTAGTTCCTGGGGCTGAAGTCCGGTATCGCCCCTCTTTAGCTGTGTGGTCTTGAGCAAATTACTCATCCCTTGTGAGGTCACAATTGTTCGTGTGGAAAATGAAGACACGATCGCCCCACAGTGTAGTTCTAAATACCACATGAAATAAAATCCCTTGAAACCGCAGGGCCAGGGCATACTGCAAGTTCAGAATTAATAACTGCTCTTCAATCTAATAAGCAGGCCGGTCTGTTCTTTCGCCACAGCTATTTCAAAATACCCACGGAGCGTCTCAAAGCACTGACAGCCCTCATCACTCCTCTTTTAGGATGACCTTTAGGGAGCAAGCAGAGGAATCTGGATCCATCCTTCCTGCCCTTTGCAATGAAGATCTTTCCTTCCCACCCCTTCATGATTCCTTCATCCAGATCCTATCACGTTGGCAATGGAAAACTCTCCCTCTGGGGATACTTTACTTTCAGTGTATGAATGGGTTCGTTTTTCCCCTATTTAAAAAAATATTTGGTTCCAGGACTCTGGATGTAGCTCTAGTAGAACACTCCAGCATGCATGAGACCCGGGAGTTGATCTTAAAAAAAAAAAAAAAAAAAAAATCACTCCCCATACACCCATTTTGTACACAAACTATACCAAGGGAGAACTATATTCATTTTGACTGGAAATGAAAAACCAGCCTCTACCTCAGAGCAAAGCCTATCCAAGGAAGGGACATGACCTTTTTGTCCTTGGAAAGACCCACAGAGCACTCCTAGGCACATTCCCACCCTGCTAAGTTGTTTATCTACAAATAACAGGAGAGATCTGCTGTGCCAGGTGTCCCTGACAGGCTAGGTGGGGACCCATAGCAACCCCCTAGCAGCCACCAATCAGCATGAGACATGGAAATATCTGGGATGCCAGATGACCCTCCCAGGAGTTTACGGTGTTGGGAAACCATGTAGTTCAGCACGAACACCCCTCTTGGCTTAAACCAATCAGTTCAAATAAATCCCCCTCTGTAGTAACCAATCACCCCTACCCAACTTGTTCCCGCCAGTGAATGTGCTAATCATGTTTTAGAGTTGTTATTTGATTTTCCCGCGATATGTGATGATTTGCTAAGAGATGCTATGATGTATGTGGGGGTCCCTGCCTTCCCCAAAGAACGTATAAAACTGCAGCAAACCCTGGGCTCGGGTCCTCTTGGTGTCAACAGTTGCTATGTGCGTGCGGAGGACCGAGCTAGCTCGCAATAAACACCTCTTTGCTGTTTACATCGATCTTGGGTCTCTGGTGGTCTTTTGCGGGTCCCGAATTCAAGCATAACAGAAAGAACTGCAGAGGCAATCATGAGACAGCAACTTTTGAGCTAATCTGAGAAATAAGTATAGGGTTTTAATGGAGAGGGGCAGAGAGAGGGAGACTTCTAGCAACAGCCAAGTCAAGGGGTCAAACACAAGGTCCCTCAACCAGCATGAAAAAATCGGTGAATAACCCTGAGGGTCTCCTTCCATTACCGTGCAATTTCCCTTCTCTCTCCCTTTCCCTCCCACCTCTCATCCCTGTTAAATGTTAATCTTCTTCTCCTGTTCTTTGTCCCTACTCTGTTCTTAGTTACTTTCCTTATATCAAAGAAGACATTTGGCATTTGTTTTTTAGGGATTGGCTAGCTTCACTTAGCATAATCTGCTCTAATGCCATCCATTTCCCTGTAAATTCTATGATTTTGTCATTTTTTAATGCAGAGTAATACTCCATTGTGTATAAATGCCACATTTTTTTTATCCATTCGTCTATTGAAGGGCATCTAGGTTGGTTCCACAGTCTTGCTATTGTGAACTGTGCTGCTATGAACATCGATGTAGCAGTGTCCCTGTAGCATGCTCTTTTTAGGTCTTAGGAGGGGGTAGAGAGAGAGGAGGGGAGGGGAGGGGAGAGGTGGGGAGGGGGGAGGGTGGATGATGGGAAAGGCAGCGGAGCACAACAGACACTAGTATGGCAATTTGTAAATCAATGGATGTGTAACTGATGTGAATCTGCAATCTGTGTATGGGGTGAAGGTGGGAGTTCATAACCCACTTGAATCAAAGTGTGGAATATGATATGTCAAGAAATTTGTAATGTTTTGAACAACCCACAATAAAAAATTAAAAAAAAAAAGAAAAGAAAAAATCGGTGAAAATTGATTTTTCACCACATTCTCCGGCAGGCAGCAGGAATATAAGGGAAGATGTGTCTGGAAATGCGTAGGCAAAGTCGTGGAAGGCTGAGGATTCCTGTGACAACACTCTGTACACCCTGGGAACCTCTCAGGCCTACAAAGTGCAGGGATGACATGTTTGTCTTGGGTCTTAGGAAGATCTAAGGAATGAAATTGAGCACGAAGTTCAAGTGGGTGAGAAAGCAGTAATTCAGAGCCTGAACTAAACCAGAGAGCTCAAAGGAGACTGTCAGACATCTTAGAAGTGGATTTAATGGGTGTCTGGTAGAGGAAGGGGGATGTGTGTGGCTGCCAGGACAGCAGGCACAGAACCTCAGCCAGTAGCCTGCCCCAAAGAAGAGGACAATCCCAGGACTGAGGGCAGAAGGGAGTAGCTAAGGGTTTCTGGGCTAGACTGATCCCAAGAAAAAGTGGGATCAGTCTAGCCCTATACCCAGAGGTAGAAAGAGACATGCAGATATTACTAAACCAAAGGTCCCAGCAACGTTGCTCAATAATAATGTTTCCAGTAGAGTTGGTTGTGAAAAATATATATATATATATATTTATATTTGCCAAGAAAATTAAAGATCCCCAGAGCAAGCATGAGTGGCTGGAAAGATTCTTCACTCTATCCTGCTGGCCTCCTGCGTATGGACCATCAGTGAGACTGAAGCACCTGAAGAGGAAGATGGTCTTCCTCTGAGGCATGATCCTCCCCAGGCTGGGAAGCCAGAATGGGGTTCTTCATGGAACCTGTAAAACAGAATAGGGAACACTGTGGCTTCACCACTGGGTATATCCTCAGGAGGCAGGTGCCAGGAATGGGAAGGGATCTCAGCGTTTCATGAAAGCCCATCACACCCTAGGGACAGTCCCTCTCCCTGACTCCTTACTTCCATAAGCATTTCCTGAACCCCTGTCATATGCCAGTCAGGGACCACCACCACCCCAGAAGCTTAAAGTCCCTTGAGGTCACAGGCCACGTTTCAAAAAATAGAACATGTGAGACATGCTAACAAGCAGGACAGAAATGGTTTAAGAGCTTAGAGAGCTCAGAGGAGAGAGGAGACACATTATGTTGGGATGATGATGGGTTTGGACACCCAGAGGGGCCGATGAACACTTCCAATAGAGACATGTCCAAGTGAACCAGAGAACAAGGAGTGCTGCAACCCAAGTGGCTGCCACGTGGACAGAGGTGTGGGGAATGGATTAGATTGGGCCTTGATCTCAATATTGAGGAGTGTGGCCTCCAGACAGTGGGAGGTATTGTGAAGTATGGGCCATGGGGAGTTTTGTCTACATTAGTAGAAATAGCATGCAATAAACCTGAAGCAGAAAGACTTGTCTGAATGTCAGGTTGTAGGATGGGCCACCCATGCAGAAGCAGGTTAATGAGAGGCAGAGGCAGAGGGGTGAGTTGCTGCCTGAAAGATCAAGGACTCCAGGTGAATGTAGGGGAGAATGGGCAGAGACCTTCAAGGCCTCCCACCTGGGTGTGGAGAGTGTGCCCAATAAGGCAGTCCCAAGGCTATTCCTGTTGAGGATGTCAAGTTTGTATTGAGAATAGACAGGTGTAGAATGTTGGGGGCAAAATGAAGGCCAAGATGACTCTCAGAGTCTCAGTATTGAAGTAAAAGAAGGGAGGTGCAAAGAGAGGGTAGAAAGGAAACCTAATGGCATGTGAGGGCCAGGAGCTGGGAAACCAGCAGAGCCTCTCTACAAGGTTCATGGGAGACTCAGGGAAGCTGTTTGGGATGAGGGGTCTGGGGCCACAGGCACAAGCAGGTAACATTTTTCACAAAAGAAATGGAGAAAGGAGAGAAGGTGAGCTAAGAGAAGACAAGGTGAGAGCTCTTGAAAGTTCCAGAAAGAAAGTACAGGCTGTCGAGAGTTAATCCTCAGAATAGGCCTCTGAGGTGGAAGGAAACAGTCCGTCTCGGTGTTGAGTCAGCCAGGTGGGAACCAGAGGAACCATCCTATGCCAACAGGAAGGACGAAGACCCCAGAGATGAGGTGAGGGAAAGGGAATGGCTTCTCCCAGGATGTGAAGGGGTTGGGGTAAAAGGGGATGGAGGCTTAGGTAGTAGGGGAAAGCTCACCAAAGCTGGCCTGCCATACTGGAAAGTGCCCCAAGAGCCCAGAGAGATGCCATCTGTGCTCTTCCTAACTTGTGCCCCTGCTGGGCCCCCAGGCTGTACCCAAGCATGACAGGGAGCAGATCCTTAATAACCAACTGGATGGGCAAATTACAACCCCAATAAGAAGAGAAAATGGGAGTGAGGCAGGGAGAAGGCTGGGCTGGAGGAATCACTAAGAGCTCCCCAGGTGACTCCCTGAAAACAGGTCAGCAGGTGAGTTGAAGTGGAGAAGAAAGGAGGAGACGTACCATTTTCAGGGGGCAATCCCTGTGGGAGGAGCAGGCATGGGATGCAGCTGCAGAACAGCCATGGAGGAGGCCTTGGGGTCCCAACCCAGACCCTCCAAGGCTGTGTGGCCCAGAAGATGCACACATGTGCACATGCCCCAGGGCAGGGGCTGCAGCCCCACATCTACTCACCAGGGGCATTGCCTTCTGATGGTTC